CTCTCTCTCTCTCTCTCCTTCTCACTCTCCAGCTCACTTGTTCACTCGCTCTCCCTCATTCTGGCTCTGTTGCCAAGGCTACCGCACAGCCTCTTGCTGCATATACCTAGACGAAGCTGCCGCCTGTGGATCTCTCTCTCCTCCAGGATACAAACAAAAGAAAACCCATCAGACTTTTATACCTCCATCTCCCCTTCACACAGACACACACACCCACATTTGTAGATTCTGCCTCTCCTAACCTCACACACGTCCTCTGTCTCTCACTGTCGTCTGTCTCCTTACATGCAAACACACTCATTCTTCTCCCAGACAGAAGAGCAGTAAAAGGGATTGGCGTGGTTCTTGGTGTTTGGCTCCTGGTCTCTGGCTCAGAGGGAGCAGAGCGGCAGATGGCGATGTGAAGACGGGCTCAGCCAGGTAAGAGGACTTATCCTAACCAGACTTGAGGCTCTGGGTGAGTGACTGTTCCAGCCCTCCTCTACTCCCCTTGTCTCTCCCTCTTTCCCCCCCTGTGCGACATGAGGTGAATACCAATTCCTCAGCAAACCCCCACGGTTCATATGGCTGCTGCTCTTTCCTGGCTGTAAAACGGTAGGGATCTGTGATGTAGCCTCCATATGTGCGTGTGTTTATTTTCAGATCCTTACAACTCATTTGCCAACAGGTTGGGTCTTTGATGCTGTTATAGCTGTGTTTCCTTCTCTCATCTATTATCATTCAAAGCTTGATTTCCACTGTGTTGTATCATGTCTATGTGACAATGTGGGAGTTACCAGAGAGAGATGCAACAGTCCTCCTCCCTGGGTGATTCATTACTAATCCATCCAGCTCTGCACTGTGTGGTCGCTCTAGCTCACCGTAGCCATGTACGTGATATGAATGGTGTTTTGTCTTAGTATGAATGACTGCCAGAGAATGCCATTCCTGCACTGGTGTTTTGATGCAGTGTAATCATGTAACACAATCCTTTGTCACCGGGAATCCAAATTTATCTCCAGCAGCCTGTAAATCAATTTGCTATGCAGCACATTTTCAATTATTCATACAGTATAGCTAAGGCTGAATTGTAAGTTTATACTTGTGTTTATGAAATTTCTCTTTGAAATGCCCCCGGAATCTGCTGCAAGAGATTGTAGGAGTGTATGTAAACAATAGAGCTGATTGATTATATTTCTTTGTGATATACTGGAGGAAGCTGCAGGCATGCTGGGTATTTAATTCTAAGGTCATTGTCAGCTTATGTATGTATTGATATCAAGATTTTATCTGTGTGTGTATGACAGAGGAAGGTTGATGAGGCAGGTCTTGGCCCTCGTGACTTTATCTCACGTTACCACACCATCATCACTTTCAGTAAGAGCTTCCTCTTACCTCGTCTCCCTGCCACATTCAGCACTTCAACAACTCGATACTGCACACGCTTTTGATCCACCTGGAAACGGGAGGTGCTACCGTGCCTGAGATTTTGCTATAATGATGTGGACACGTCATAAAAATACATTTTTTTCTCTATTTTTTAAATAGAGTAGAAATGCCAGAGACACTTGGAGAATTAGGAATGTCCATTAAAACCTGAGCCAGCTGTCACCAAAAGAGAAAAAAAAATGGATTACGTTAATTCCCCTTGCTCTTGGGACAGAGGCCATGGGCTTATTGTATGGCTCCGTTTAGACTCAGCTGGATGTTGGGTGCTTTGAATGGATGCAGATCAATGGAAAAACTACACACATACTCTATTTGAAGACTGAGGGGGTGGCGTTTGTAATGACCCAAAGACAGTAGACCTTCTGTGAGGAATGAGGCTGAATTAGCTGTCAGATTTGACTTATTGGCCATGAATCCAGTTGGCCTGGTTGAACATTTTTCTCAGAATACTGTGATCTTTAGGCTGTCAAAGCCGTATCAGTTTGTTACTGCAGCCTGGTTGTGTAATTTTAGAATTAAAACTTTAATGTGCGTTATGAGCTTCCCAACAATCAACAGGAACATTGCATGTAGGCTAAAAACAGCCAGCTTTTTTTCACTTTCTAGGTATTAATATCAACCATCACCATTATTCAGAACCAAAGATCTTTATTTTAAATTCTAGTTTGGATCCCAAAGTTTCCAAAGATACCATTATGTGTGTCAAAAGAGGAAGAATGTTGAATAAATGTGTATATAATGGTGCACAAGACTAGAACCTTTCCATTTGATGGGTCGTATGGCCACAAAGGACAAAGGAGCCTTGGTTTGTTGTTTTTCTCAATGTTAACATCATAAATCTTCAATGAAGAGGAACCAGTTGACAAAATATACATAAAAGTGACACTAACAGAGTGAAATAAGACACGTACACGTTTTCAGGTCAAAGGGAAAACAAGAGAAAAACTGTTTGTTAAAGGAACAGTGTGTAGGATTTTGTGGTATAGTGGTGTGCAGGTTGCAACCATTTCAATTCAGCTCAGCTTTCAAGCGTGTGGGAGAAATTACGGTGGCTGTGATAGTTGTTGAAAAAAATGCAAAAGGTCCTATCTAGATCCAGTGTTTGGTTTGTCTGTTGTGGGCTACCATAGAAACATGGTGGTTTAACATGGCGTAGTCTGTAGAAGAGGACCCACTCCCTCTGTAGATGAAAACGATTCATTCCAAGGTAACGAAAACACAACAATTCTTATTTTCAGGTGTTTATACTCTAATGAAAACATACATATGAATATTATATTCCATTTCCTCCTAAATCTTACATAATGGACCTTTGACTGTTTTAATTCAGGGCCATACTACCATTGAGGACACTGAGGTCATGTCCTCTATTTCTGGTCCATGAGGGGGATGTTACGCTTTGTATACTTCCACTATTTATATTTTATATTGTATATGTATTTTTTTTATTTTTTTATTATTTTTTTGGCAGAGAGAAAAGACTTCAACACAGCATGTTGGGAGACAAAATAATTGAACGGTTGATGATTAATCTGAGACTTCGTTTTTGGTGTCTGGTCAAATGTTGACGGTGGGGGGGACTCAAGACCTCAGTATTTGTACAATCCAAGCTACAGCCCTGGTTAAATGTACCAGACAGTTCACCAAACAAGTACTCAGCAGTCAAAGCGAGTAACTGAAAAACAAAGATGTTTACCTCAAAGAATAAAAGCAAAGAGAGGCAGAATTTTCTTTGGACAAATATGAATATTGTCACTTCTCTCCCAGTGCAGATGTGTGTTTGTGTTTTTCATTTTTTATGTGGTGAGTGTGTGTGTGTGTGTGTGTGTCCACGCTAAAGTATGTTGGTTGCCACAGTTACCATAACGCCAACCTCACTGCGTCATTGCTTCAGACAACCTTCACACAAAAAAGAGTCGCTTTTCCTCCCATTCATCTCTCCTTCCACTCACCTACCTGTCCATCTACTGTTCAAAAACGGAAGCAGTTCTTCTTATACAACACAATCTCTATGTGTGTGTGTGTGTATACTTTATATATATGTGTGTGTACATTGTATGTATGTACGTTGCTATGACTACGGGCCGGGCTAACTGGCGTCATCACTTCAAAACCACCTTCGCAGCAAGCAAGGAGAGGTAGAAAAGGACTCAAAGCAGCTCCCCTCTGTTCAACACCTGCACTCTCTCTCTCTCACTCTCACACACACGCACACACACACAAACACATAGACAAATACTGGTGTGGTCTTATATTCCGCTGAGCTCACCTCATTCGTTCAACAGGGTCCAGTGGCACAGAAGGAGAGGAGGGGAGATGAGAGAGCAGAGAAGGCTTGACTTCATGCATACTGATTCAACTGGAGCAACCTGAATGTATTTCTGAGGGGTGTCTGCCTAGCCGGGGCTCAATCATCCCTGCCTCTTAGGGAGGCAGAAACAGGCAGGGAGAGAAAGAGAGGGAAAGAAATATTGACAGTTTACTTTGTCACCTTACATCACCATCCTCATGCTCATGAAAGCACAGCTGGGTGCTGACAAGGGTGCTACTCTGATCCATCTCTAGATGAAACTAGATCACCAAACCTGTTTCAGCGTGACCAGTTGAGTTTGAGTCACAAGATGTCTCTACTATATGTGTAGTATTTTCGGATATGGTTGGGAATGTGTTTAAATTACCTGCTGTTTTATTTATCTTTCCTTTAATTTTTGAATTTGGAACACATGTATGAAACGTGATGTTTGGCTGTTTGTCTTCTGCCCTTCAGATTTGACTCTGCCTCACAATGGCTGACAACGGCTGGTTGCCACAGGATACAGGATTTAACTTGATCATGTGATCTGACTCCCCTCCCCAGTTCCCTGCCATCTATCATAGGTGAGTCATGTGACGGGCTGTATAGTCTTTTGATATTCCAGTAAGCCAACTGGGAAATCATTTCCCCCTGCGTTGCTGGTTGGTTGTCATTGATGAAAACTGGTTCCAAACTCACTCATGACAAATTTAGCCATCAGCAACACATTCAGACAAAAGTGATATGTGCGCTAAACAGTACACCACCACTCTCACAGGCCCCCGCATTCACACATCCGCACAAACCACGTGGCGGTAATCAGCCAAATGTACAAAACACCTTTATTAATGGTTGAAGGACAAAAGTGTAGGACATAAAAGGGCTTTGAATACACTGCTGACTGACACAGAGAGGCTGTGTGTGTTTGTGGGTGT